TCACTGTTGTATAAGCTATGAGGTTTAGGTGAAGGTTCATTTCTTTGCCTATGGACGTCCAATTGCTCCAGCTCCATTTGTTGAAAAAGCTTCCTCCATTTAATTGAGTTTGCACCTTTGTCAAAAATCAGTTGCAGGTATTTGTGTGTGTCTATTTCTAGGTCTTCTGTCAATCTATGTGTCTATCCCTCTAATATCACACTGTCTTGATTACTGTGGCTATAGTTTTATGTATGTTCAGACTGTGTTGTTGATGCATATAATTTACAGGTTTAGCTTTCTTGTAAAATTTGTACTTTCCTTGTATAATTGTAAATATCTTCCTTGTCTAATTTTTTTCATTATGTGGTGACCTTCTTTATCCCTAAAATACTTATTGAATTAAAGCTTATATCATCTGATATTAATTTGTTTCCCAGATGTCCCTCAATCTCCATTATTCCTTTATTCTTTAGTAATGGATTCATGACTTTTAGCTGGTCACAAGGCTACTGAGAATAAAAACTATATTCCCTCTAAGTTTGGCATAACCATGAAGTTCTGGCCAATGCGATGTAAGCAGAAGTGGGATCTACAACATCTGCAAAATGTCCTTAAAGAGAGATCATGTGACCACTTTTTAATCCCTTCCTGGAGTGTAGATGTGATGACTAGAACAAGAGCAGCCGTCCTGGGCGAGGTGGGAGCCGTGTATTGAGAATGGTAGAGCAACACGGTACAAAGAGCCTGGATCCCTGGTGATTGAGGAGTGGTATACCCATAGCTTATGTATGGGCTTAGTTTATGTGACAAAGAAGTGAGTTTCTACCTGTGTAAGCCACTGTTATGGAGTTTTCTGTCACTTATTACCAAGCCTAATCGTAACAAACACTACTAGCTTCATTTTTTAGGGACTTTATTTTTTAAGAGCAGTTTTAGGTTTACAATAAAATCGAGCCTCCCCCATTATCAACATCACTCACCAGATAGTACAACTAGCTCCATTTTCATTTTAGTCATGTGTGGCTGCCATAACAGAGACCTAACTACAGGGGCTTAAGATTTATTTCTGTCTTGCATAGAAGTCCAGAGATGGGCAGTCCAGAGCCGATGAGATGACTCCATGGTCACCAAAGACCAAGTCTCCTCGTATCTTTCTCCTGTCTTTAGTGCAGACCTACCATCCTCAAAATCACCTTACAGTCTAGGAAGGCTGCTGCAGCTCCAGCCCTCACTTCTACAATTAATGTAATAGGAAAGAAGCAGCAAGGGAAGACCACAGGGACTTCTCTCAGTTCTCTGTCCACCTTTTAAGGAGTCTTCCCACAAGTACCACCTTCCAAATTCTGCTTGTAGTTCATTGATCCAGAAATTAGTTACATAGTCACAACTGCAAAGGAAACTGAAGAATGCAGTTTTTGGCTGGGTATAGTATTTCAGTAATATGAGGGTGCTGTTATTATGGAAGGAAAGAATGGCTATTGGGTAAGCAACTGGAAGCCTCTGCTGCACCTGGTATGTATATTTCCATCTCTTTACTCCAGCATTTCTCTGTCCTTATAAGGTTTCTTATAAGTAGTATGTAGCCAGACCTGTTTTAATCTATCCAGCCAGTATAGTCTGTTTATATTGATTGTGACTTGCTAATATACTTGGATTTACTTGTAGCATGTAGTTTGTGCTTCTATTTTCCTTGCCTTTAAAATTTTTCTGTTTCCTTTTTCTAGTTTACCTGTCTTTTATTAGATTGATTAAAGTTTCTTTTCCCCTTTTCTCTTCTACTGGTTTAGAAGCTATAGAATCTCATTCTAATCTTTATTTGTTCTCCTTAATTTTTTAAGTCACGCGTGATCAAAGTCGAAAATTAATGTTTTCTTCCTCCCAAACCAGGGGATTCTAATTACTTTCATTTTAACATACGTATTGTCATCATGTAGCATTTTAGCCCCAACGTGTTTTAAACCAGCTCAACACTAGTCATGACTAGTGTTGTTTTATTTTACGGCAATGTTCCCTTAGGTCTTTATTTGTTTGTTTGTTTGTTTGTTTGTTTTTACCAATTTTTTTTTCTCATCACTGCTTCTTGCACCTACTTCTCAATTTAATTGCCATCTTTTTGAACATCCTCTTGTAGACCTGGGAGTAGTAAACTTACTTGGGCTTTGCTCAGAAGTATCTTTCTTTTGCCCTCATTCCTTCATGATAGTTTGGCTGTGTATATACTTCTAGGTAAGAGGTCTGATTCCTGACCTCTTTCTGATTCCTGATGTTGCTGTTGAAATCCTCAGTCTGCCTGGTTATTGTTCCTTTTTTGGAAATCTGGCCTCTCTGGTTGATTTTAAGCTCATCTCTTTGTTCTCATCTGTCATTTCACCGTAGTATGTTCAGGTGTGGATTTATTTTTATTTATCTGTTCAGGGATGAGGTTTCCTGCATATGAGGATCTGTCTTGGATCATTTCTGGAGAACTCTTGGTTGTTATCACTTAGAACACTGACTCCATTCTCTCCAGTCCCTACCTCTGATTGGATGCATGTTGGACCTTCTCACCTGTCCTCCACGTCCAGCTTCTCTCTCATATTTTGTTTGTTTCTCTCTGTGCTTCATACTGGGTAGTTTCTTCCCAGCACTTCTCCAATTTACTGATTCTTCCTTCAGCTGCTTCACTCTGCTTTTTAACCATTTGTTCACTTTACTTCAATGCTAATGTTTTTGATGTCTAGAAGCTGCCTTTGGTTCTTTTTATTTTTTTATTTATTTATTTTTTTTTTGCAGTACGCGGGCCCCTCACTGTTGTGGCCTCTCCCGTTGCGGAGCACAGGCTCCAGACACACAGGCTCAGCGGCCATGGCTCACGGGCCCAGCCGCTCCGTGGCATGTGGGATCTTCCCGGACCAGGACACGAACCTGTGTCCCCTGCATCAGCTGGCGGACTCTCAAGCACTGCGCCACCAGGGAAGCCCTCTTTTTATTTTTTGTAATATCTTATTCTTATTGATTCCTACTCTTATATTTATTTGATCTTCATCAAACATTTCATGTGGTTTAGGTTGTTATTCTCTTATCTCAGGCTCCTGGTTGTACATTTTGCTTTGTTCTGCTGCCAGACTCTAGCAGCGTTGTTTCTTGTGTGTTTTGTAGTTTTAGGTGGTGAGCTCCTCTTCTGGTTTGGTTTGGTTCTGTCTTGTGAAAGAATTCTGTATGAAAAGAATTCAGAGTGTCCCTAGAGACTGGTTTTGTGTTTGCATCTGCCATTTGCCCCAGGAATATTGCAAGCCTGGGATTTTATACAGATCTCTTGGCTTGGCAGTGCCCACTGAGTAAGTTCAGACTTGCTCTAAGTGAGAGGTACAACCACAGCTGTTAGCTTCTCACAGGAGACTCTGTTATCTCACCCACACATTCTTGTTTCCCTCCTTTGATGGTGGGTCCTTTCTAGTTAGATGGCTTAGGGTCCTTCAGTCACTTCTCCTCAACCCTCACCATGGGGCTTTTTACTGAGATGTAGCCCTTTGAAGGTCCCCTCCCCAAGGGTTTGTCTCTTGTCCACATGAGTGTCACAACCCAAAGTCCTTGCTGTTTTCAAGGACATCCTCCCTTCAGCTGTGGCATCAGCCTCTGCACAGGCTGCTCTTCTTTCTGATGCACAGGAACACTTCTTTCTGTCTTACCATTCAACCAAGCCGTAAAAACATTGAATTACATTTTATCCAGCATTTCTAGGTGTTTGTGATCAGTTTTCACTTACCTGCTTCCTCTCTGAACCAGAAACTCTAAGTTAATCTCTCTAAGACTCAGTTTCCACCTCTGTAAAATAACAACACCTCCTTTGTGGGCTTCTTGTGAAGATTTAAATGAGATAAAGCAGGTAAAATGTGTAGCATGGGGCCTGGCACATGGTAAGAACTCAAGAAATTTAAGTATCATTATGGTTACTCTAGAAAATTTGCAACGTTTGGAAAAGTGTAAAGAAAATAAATGTGGTACTGTCCACTGAAAATTATGGTTAGCACTGTAATATATTTCTAACCTTTATTCCTATGAATATTGAATATTCACACATTACTTATAAGATGATAGGAAGACTGTAATACAACTTTGCATCTGCTTTTCTCATTTGATCAATGCCTTAGTCAGCTTGGGCTGACATAACAAAATACCATGGAGTGAGTGGTTTAAACAACAGACATTTCTTCCTCACAGTTCTGGAGGCTAGAAGTCTGAGATCAGGGTGCCAGCACAGTCGGGTTTTGGTAAGGGCCCTCTTCCTGGCTTGCAGATGGCTACCTTCTTTTTGTGTCCTCACATGGCCTAGAGAGAAAGCAAACTGTCTGGTCTTGTCTTCTAAGGGCACTAATCCCATCACAAGGGCCCCACCCTCATGACCTCAACTAACCCTAGTTATGGTCCCAAAGGCTCCATCCCCAGATACCAGCACATTGGAGGTTAGGGACTTCAACATAAGAATTTGAGGGAACACAGTTCAGTCCATAGCTATCAGACTATTTAACAGCTGCACCTCAGCCTGGAAGACCATCTGTGATCTTGGCAGGAATGAGATTATCAGATCCATGCTCTTCTCCAACAGAGTCCACCTCAGCAGG